ATCACACAAATATATATATATATATATACACACACACACACATATATAATTAAGATCACAAACATCATATACAAATAAATAACTCGCATTTCAAATTTGTATTGGATTTATTAGTAACAAACAACTCTCTCTAAATAATTTGTAAACTAATTTATTTAAATAAATTTACTAGTACAAATATAAATCATAAAATCAAGAAAATAAACAAAATAATTAAAATGTTTTGAGGGATATTTTTGTCTTTACATAGACTTATCCCATGGTATTATATCCTATGTATTACTAATACCTCCAAATGGAAGGTATTAGTAATACATCCTATAATACCATGTAGGATGTATAACTAATTCATGGATGAATTAGTTATACATAGGCCCAAATTTCTGTCAAACATAGTACTAAATAATACCTTACATAATACATGGATTATTTCTTCTAATACGGCCTACAAAACGACCCCTTAATGTAGTGCTAATTTTGCTATTGTGATTTTTTCTTCTAGCAACAAATTATATTCACATAGGCATTCTTCCGTCAAGTCAGTTGTGGATAGTTTTGTCTGAGAGAATCCTCCATCCAACACTGATACTCCTAATTCAAATAAGATATTAGGGATAAATAAAATTGCGTAGTTAAAGTACTAAAGTAAATGTGGTTGTCAAATTCAAAGATGATTTGATATATGTTCTCGATCTTTTTCAATAGTTCAGTAACATAAATCTGATAAGGAAAACTATGTAATTTATAATTATGATCTTTATGAATTGCAACGATACAAGGAAAAAAAACTCAAATAATATTATAAGTTTTGGTTCGAATCCTATTAAATAAGTAATTATCTTTAACTTTTTTGCTTTCTTGTTATTTGAGTTCACTATCATCAAACAAATAAGGATGGTATCACATTTTCTTAACATTCTCGAATTAGAGATTTAGCTATGGTAAAATTATCCTAATATAGTCATAAAAATTGATATTGTGAGGATACAAAATAAAACAACTTACATATGACTTTTTCAAAATGATGTGTTGGCCTCTTTAAGAAGGCAAGTTAACTCTTTACCTCGTGTAATGCTAATGTTGCCACTATCTATGATTAACATAACTTTGTGACATTTATGGCTTTAATTTTACCTTTTACTAAGTTTAATATGTAATGAAATGAATAATATTATCTTTTGTTTTTTTAGTATATATGTGGTTATTTGTCGTTGTTGACATTGAAATTGATATGCAAGTGTTGAATGCATAAATAGTAAAAGATTAATTTAAATAAGATAATGAAAGTCATGTGAGATCACTTGAAATATAAATGATCTCATTTAAAAGAAACAAAAATCTTATGAAGTATCGTGTGTACTTATATCTATATAATTTATACTAAAAATAAGAACTGTTGTTTGAATTTTTTGTCCTTTATTAAGATACTTTGCTTTAGATAAACCTGTTTTTTCCACAATTTTCCTTCAATTATAATGTAATTATTTTAATGATATTATATATTGACTATGATAAACATAATAAAAATTAAATAAAGAAGATTTTCTTATTATGTTAAATTCCTACGTGCAGAATCTTTTTCCAACTAAAATGGATTTGATATGGAAAAAAGTGATAAAGTACGAACTTTTAATCATAGAAGTTCAATTGTCTCTTAGTCAATTCTAGTTTGTGAACCTTCATTCTGATTGATATATCATGAAAAAAAGAAAAGTCATTTGCATCAGGTGCATTGCGCTTTCTCTTGCCCAAAATTTTTGTCTTTCTAAATAAAATAATGATGATTCACCGAAGATTGAAGCTAACTAAAGAAAACAAATTAAATCAAAAAACCTAAATCTTCATATCTAGCATTTCTCCATTCTCAAAACTTTATAATTAAAATCTATGATTAAAATGAGTCATATTACCACACTACTATTTGGTGGTACACTTAACTTTTGTTGCCTAATGACAAGTGAAACCAAAAATCTCATGGGAAGGAATAAAAAACTATCAAAAATGATTTAGTGCAAGTATGACAAATTCCATTATATTCTGTATATATCATAGTGGTCAAACCAAATAATGACCAATTGAATAATTTGTGAAAATTATGACTTACAAATTCTTATTAAAAGTCTTAATACTAAACATTGGGTTAAGCTACTTGGATAATTGAAATTTATTTTAATACATGTGAATTTGTTTCAGTAATATATAAAAAAAAGTTAATGGTACGAAACATATATAAATTATTATTTTCTCATGAGTTTAATATCTTAATTATTTATTGTTACTTTTACCTACTTAAACTATTATTTTTCATGAGTTTTATACTTAATTGTTCACTCCACTTATATTAAAACACACATCGATATCGAGTTTTAAGCAAAGATTATACAATAATACAATACTAAAATCAAGAACTAATTTTATTTTGGTATTTTCAATAAACAAAACTAATTTTTATTCTGTTACGTATAATATTGCATAAATTATACATATATTAGTAGCAAGAACAATAACATATATTACATTAAATAGACCAAACCCTTGATTGGTACATTAATAATACAAAATAAATCATTTAAATTTATGAACAATCTAAAGTCATATTAATAATACACCCCCTCCCCCCCCCCCCCCCCTCTTTCTCTTTTTGCTTTTCTTAAATAAAAGGAAAATTTAGAAATATAAATACATAAGTTCTTAAGTAAAAACGAAAATCTCTCACAAAACTTCAATAAATTTCAAAGTGAAATATACATATTCAAATATAAATTTATATTTATATATATTTTTTCAACTTAACTTAAAATCCTATATATTTTTTTAATATCATTAAAAACCTACTTAATTAAAAATAGATGTGCAGTACTATATTGGGCTTTCTTGAGGGAAAGAATGAAAAAAAAATTATGGAAATTTAACTGCAGCCATTTCTAGCTCCCGACAATATCATGATAAAACACGGTATCCGTACCTGTAAATAGAAAGTGAATACAAAAAGACATTAAAAATATTATTTATTTATTAAAAAAAAAGACAGCTCGTTGTATAAATTTTTATCATGTTAAATTAAATTAATATTTTTATGATGACCCGAATATATTGATTATAAAAAAATAAATAAATAAGCATTTTATTATTATTATTTCATAAGATATATTTTTTAGCTTTGTTTTAATTTGTTTGTCTTTTTTGCGTGTCAGAATTTAAGAAAATAGATATAGCCCTATATAATATAAATGATTAATTACAGAAATCCCACATTTTAGTTTACTTATTACCATTATCCCTTATAAGTTTTACAAATCTCCAAAATCCCTCATTTTCACACATCAGATTAGTGTATCATGTATAAAATGTAATGTATCTTACTTAACGATTAATGTATCTCGCGCATCAGATTAATATTGGAATTCATGTTAGAATTTTAAAATCAAAAAATCATTTCAAAATTAGTATCTCACTCTTAATATAAAATAAACTTATTTTTAAATTGATTAATCAATTATTTCTTATTTCTCGTACCAAACAAGTTGTAATACGTTCCCACTTCATAAATATTATATAATTATAAAATAAAATATGTCATTCACAGTGATTATTTTTTAAGTATAAAATATGCTAATTTTATACAGTAAATAATGTCTCATTCTTTTTAATGACTCATCATTATCCTTGCATGATGATAATGTGAAAAAACTACGTCCTAGCATTCGTTTATCATAAATTTTAAAATTATATTTGGAAGTATATTTTATTTTTTTAGTGAAGGAAAGTTAACTTTTTTTTAAAGATAGTTGTTTATGATTTAATTCAAAATTAATGATCAAATATTTAAAAATAAATTTTTAGAATTTCATTCAAAATCTATGACCAAATAAACAGTTGAAGGTAAGTTTTCAAAGTCTAATTCAAAACCTATGATGAGGATAAATTTTCAAAGTCTGATCCAAAATCTATTACCAGACAGATGTTTGAAGATAAGTTTTCAAAGTCTGATTCAAAATCTATGACTAAATAGATATATGAAGGTAAATTTTTAAAGTTTGATCCAAAATCTACGACTAAATAGATATTTGAAGATAAGTTTACAAAATTTGATTCAAAATCTATGACCAAATAAACATTTAAAGTAATTTTTTAAAGTCTAATCCAAAGTCTATGATGAAACAGATATTTGAAGTGAAGTTTTCAAAGTTTGACCCAAAATTTATGGCAAATAGATATTTGAATATAATTTTTCAAAGTCGGATTCTAACTCTACGATCAAATTGACATTTAAAGTAAAGTTTTCAAAGTCTAATTCAATATCTACGACTAAAAATATATTTGAAGATAAATTTTCAAAGTTTAATCCAAAATCTATGACCAAACAGATATTTGAAGATAAGTTTCAATGTATGATCCAAAATCTATAATCAAATAGACATTTAAAGTAAATTTTCAAAGTCTAATTCAAACTATATGATCAAATAGATATATTTAAAGATAAGTTTTCAATGTCTGATCCAAAATTTATGCCCAAACAAATAGCTAAAGATAAGGTTAGAAAATTTAATAAAAAATCTATGACCAAATAGAAATTTAAAGATGAGTTTTCAAATTCTGATCCAAAATATATGATCAAATAGACATTCAAAGTAAAATTTTCAAAGGCTAATCTAGAATTTATGGTCAAACAAATATTTAAAGATAAGTTTTCCAAGTTTGATCCAAACTCTATGATCAAACAAACATTTAAACTAATTTTTGCAAATGTAAATCAAAATCTATAACCTAATAGATATCTGAAGATAAGTTTTTCAAGTTTGATTCAAAATTTATGATCAAATAAATATCTGAATTAAATTTTCAAACCCCAATTCAAAATCTACAATCAAACAAATATTTTAAATATATGGTCAAACATTAGTTTAGAATATACTATAATTCTTTCATTTTTATTTGATAATTTTGTAATAAAAAAAGGAAAAGGAATAAACGGCGAGGATGGAAGCCGAAAAACTCCAAAAGAAGGGACTGATATAGTGGAAGAGAAGTCAGAAAGAGGTGCATTTGCAGAATTTTGATTCCATTTTTACTGTCCATTTCCTCTCTCTCTCCTCTCTCACCTCGTGACATCCGTCCCTCTCCACTTCTCCCCAATCATCAACTATTCCTCCCCATCCATATATTACTACTATTGCTATTTGTGGCTTCTCGAGTACGGTTGTTGTTTTACCTCAGTTGAACTTGCTGCTGTAATTTGGATCGACCGGAATAAAATGTAAGTTTAATGAACATTTTTGTGATTTTTCTGTGTGTAGATGAAATTGTGTGTTTTTTGTGCTTTATTATGAGTGTTCATGTGTGAAGTAACGATGAGTATGAGTGATTTTATTCATTCGTTGTAGAAGTGTTTAATCGTCAGGTGATGAATTTGTTTGAAATGGATCGAGTTGATCAGAATTTGATGTGATTGATTTAGAAATGTGTGTGTACTGTTTTTTTTAACAGTATTCGTACTCAGTTGAATAAGCTGTTGAAATTTGGATCGGCCGGAATAAAATGTAAGTTTAATGAGCATTTTTGTGTGTTTTGTGTGTAGATGAAATTGTGTGTTTTTTTGTGCTTTAATACGAGTGTTCATGGGTGATTTTGTTCATTTGTTGTAGAAGTGTGTAAACATCAGGTGATGAATCAGTTTGAAATGAATCGAGTTGATCAGAATTTGTTGTGATTGATTTAGATATGTGTATGTACTGTTTTTACACAGCATTCTTCCTCATTTGAATGAGCTGTTGTAATTTGGATAGGCTGGAATTAATTGTAAGTTTAATGAGCATTTTTGTGATTTTTTACGAATAGATGAAATTGAGTGTTTTTATGTGGTTTATTCTAAGTGTTCATGTGTGAAGTAAGGGTGAGTATGAGTGATTTTGTTCATTTGTTGTTGAAGTGTGTATCATCAGGTGATGAATCTGTTTGAAATGGATCGAGTTGATTAAAATTTGTTGTGATGAAATTCAGTGTATTTTGTGCTTCATTCTGAGTGTTCATGTGTGAACTGTTAATGATGAGTATGAGTGATTTTGTTCAGTTGTTGTAGTTTTGAAATGGATCGAGTTGATTGAAATTTGTTGTTATTGATTTAGATATGTATATGTACTGTTTTTTTTACACAGCATTCTTCCTCAGTTGAATGAGCTGTTGCAATTTGGATCTGCCGGAATAAAATGTAAGTTTAATGAGCATTTTTGTGATTTTTGTGTGTGTAGATGAAGTTGTGTTATTTGTGCTTTATTACGAGTGTTCATTTGTGAAGTAACGATGAGTATGAGTGATTTTGTTCATTTGTTGTATAAGTGTTTAATCATCACGTGATGAATCTGTTTGAAATGGATCGAGTTGATCAGAATTTGTTGTGATTGATTTAGATATGTGTATTTTTACACAGCATTCTTCCTCAGTTGAATGAGCTGTTGTAATTTGGATTGGCCGGAATTAAATGTAAGTTTAATGAGCATTTTTGTGATTTTTTACTAATAGATGAAATTGAATGTTTTTGTGCGTTATTCTAAGTCTTCATGTGTGAAGTAACGATGAGTATGAGTGATTTTGTTTATCTGTTGTTGCAATTTGGATCTGCCGTAATCAGTTATAAGTTCATGCATTTTTTGTGATTTTATGAATTGATGAAATTGAGAGTTCGTTTGTGTTTCATTCCGAGTGCTCAAGTACGAGTGATTTTGGATCGACCAGAATCAAACTGTAAGTTTATTGGGCATTTTTGTGATTTTTTATGAATAGATGAAATTGAGTGTTTTTTGTGCTGCATTCCGAGTGTTCATGTGTGAAGTAACATGAGTACGAGTGATTTTGTTCATTTGTTGTAGAATCTATTTGAAATGGATCGAGTTGATCAAAATTTGTTGTGATTGATTTAGATTGGGGCTTTTTTTTGCTCTATGTATGTGTCTACTGTTTTGTGTTTTTTCTTTTCACGGCATTCTTCCTCAGTCGAAGGAGCTGTTGCAATTTGGATCGGCCGAAATCAACTGTAAGTTTAACAAGCATTTTTTGTGATTTTCTGTGAAGAGAGGAAATTATGTGTTTTTTGTGCTTCAGTCTGAGTGTTCATGGGAAGTAACAATGAGTATGAGTGATTTTGTTCATTTATTGTAGAAGTATGTAATTAGGCTGTTTGAAATGGATCGAGTTGATCAAAATTTGTTGTGATTGATTCATATTGCGGCTTTAATTTGCTCTTTGTATGTGTATGCACTGTTTTGGGTTGCTTTATGTGCATTCTATATGAATGTGTAATTGCCAAATCTGAAAGAAAAAGGGAGAGGTTATTTGTAGATGAAATATGGATAGAGTTGATCATAGGTTGTTGTGATTGATTGAGATTGTGTTATGTACTTTAGTCTTTAATTTTCTTATCCTCAGTTCTTTCTTCTGCTTAATCTGAAACAATCCATTGGCACTTCGTCACCAAAATCTGTGTATTTGGCATTTGATCAGTTGATATTTGACAAACTATCCTGAAGTAAACAGTAATTACGAGCTGGTTTCAAAGGGAAAGGAAAAGAAATGATGGTGCAGTAGACTTAAACTGGAGATTGCTCTGTCTATCTGTGTGTGTTATAAATGACTAAAATGGAATTACTAAATACTAACGTCCTCAGCATTGATTAGCTAGTTTAGAGGTTTGGGTAGTTTATTTGAATTGCATGACCGCCTCATCTAAAAGTTAAACTATTAAAGAGGGACACTTGTGGTTTATTGAATTTAGATCTGCATAAGTTTGTCAGGTTAAAATTATACGCATGGAAGAATTTTGCCAAAGGTGCGGTTAAACACCTTGCATTGCGTTAATTTCATATGCCATTTTCTCTTTTCTTCAAAAGTGTTGTCTATAGGTGCTGGTATTCTGAGATGATTTTCAAAGAGAGTCTGCCTTTGTGATTTGTATGACTATTACCAAAGAATGTTGTTAAGGGACCCACATGAATACCACAGAAAAAGTAGGTACACCTAATTCATGGGTCACAGCCCCTTCAGAAAGCTTGAATGTGAATTCTCATTTTGTACCTAACTAACTATGAAACGGATCCTTAATCCTTATTGCTATTGTAATCTACAGACTACAGGCACTTGTATGCAATTGTGTGAGTTACTCTTAATTTTAGATGATTCCATTTTAGATCATTTGAAAAAGAAAACACAAGTGTATTTATTACTTATCACAAAAACAAAGAAAAACATTGATAAATTAGTTCTTTGCACTGTTCTAGTACTAAAGTTGGTTTGGAGGGAAATGGTTGTTCTGCGTCCCGGAGCACAGATAATTGGCTTTTTCTTTTTATCATTCTTAACTGCTACACAGCAATAATCATCAGTATTCATTGTTGCATGCTTTTATCTGATATAAATAAAACTGCTCAGATGATTACGCACGAGCAAGATCCAGATGTTGTCCGGTGGGGTCTTCAGTTGTTTGATAGTGATCCATATTCTAACTGCGCATATAGTGGTGCCATGCCCCAAAACAGTTTAGATTACTATCAGGACCATTACTTCAAAGGTAATCATTTTAGTACAGAATCTGGCAATGAGGAAAATCACAATTTCAATGCACAGCGTCTCCAGGAAGAACTGTCTCAGCTTTCAGTCGCTGAACCACCTTCAATCCTCCATCAAATGGCAGAGCATACACAAACACATTTTTATCCACAAGACTGGTTTAGTCAACCTATGGGAAACTACAATATTGGTATTGGAAGTGTTTGCTTTTTCCAACCTTATAATTATAGTTCTTGGATTAATTTATTCTGACTATTCATATTATAATTTTCAGGAGAAGAGAACTGTGATGAAGAAGAAACTAATGATGGAGCTTCCACTTCATGCTCTAGCCCAGGAGAAGAGTCATATACGGGGGAGGACTGGTCATATTCACTTGAATTGACGGATGAATACAATCTTGATGGTGAAGTAGGGAAACGATTGAACCAGATGATTCCAATTCCTGTAAGCATTCTATGTCCATATGTATAATGAGTTAGCAACTAAGATTTTCAATTGTTCTCCTTTTCATAATCAATACAATCATCTGAAAATATCGGGATTCATGTGCCAGAAGTAGTTGGAGACATGTCTCATTGTTGTTAAACTTCATTCTCTGTAGACACTTGAGAGATATACTTGTTTTTGTCGCTTAACTTAGTTGTGCCTCTTGAAACCTTTGCCTTTATGCTCATGCAACTTCTATACTTGCCTTTGCAGCATATCCCTAGAATCAATGGAGAAATACCGTCAATTGATGAGGCAACCTTAGATCATCAAAGACTTCTTGACCGGTATTATACAATTTCTTTGATGGAAGATGTGAATGTTTAGTTCAAAGATCTACAAACCCTATGCTGGTTGTATAAATCTAGCAATTGTTTTTCTTAATATAAATTTACCTCACCACTTTTGAAAAGATGCTGATCAACAAATTATATTTCTGTAAAACATAAATATCATAAGGATTCATTATTATTTTACTGTTTTTTGCATGTTTTTCTATTGTTTGAAAAATTAAGTTTATGTTATTTGATGGTAGGGATAATTCTTGCAGCTGTTAAGTTTAAACAAATTAAATAATGTTAAGTACCTATCAAAAAGGAGAAAATAATAGGAAAAGAACAAACCCGAAAGGAATACTCCCCTCTGTTCTGCTTTATATGGCTCTATTATCATTTGAGAAGTATACAACTTTTTCTTTGACCATAACTTTTTCATAATTCTTTGTGTAAATTTTATTTTTAAAAAGATTAAGAACTCGATTTTATAATTGAGACTGAAAAGTAGATTGTTTGACCCATGTATTCCTTCATTCTTTTTTAAACAAAGGGGTTCATTTTAACTCCCTTTGAGTTAATTTATACGGCACTTTTTCTGTTTTTGGATGTTCCAAAATATTTGCACCATATTATTTCTATACAACATTCATGAATCTAAATTTATTAAGCTCTTCGTACTTTAATTTTGATGTTTACTCTCTTTGAAACCTCAACTTTGATATTCTCTTCCATAATCCAATTATTTATTATATACATCAAATGAATTTCTTAATTCTTAAACTTCATGTGTAGTTAAATAATATCACATATAAAGAATTTGTGAGTGTGTTCCCTACTTGTTTCTCTTCTTTGTCATTCTTTTGTTTAAGGTGCAGAAGTTTGTTTATTTCTACAGATTACAGGTTTATGAACTAGTTGAATTTAAAGTTCAAGGTGATGGGAATTGTCAGGTCAGCTCTCCTACATTCATCATTCAATTCTTTTCAATTAAAACTCACAATCTTCCCTAGCACAATTATTTACTAGATAGTTGAGGATATCTGTAGTTTTGTTCAGTTCTCAAAAGAGGAGGGCACGTTTAGTATTTCAAATTCTTTAGACATAAGAAAGTAATAACTTGAGTCAAAGAAGTTCGAAAAGGCTGTCTTTTCATTTTTATAAATTTCTTGAGTTCTACAATGTAGATAAAGAATGGAAAATGGAACAACAAATATTCAATATTTTAAGAAACAAAACACTAATTTCAGATTGTCCAAACAGGGGAACTTACTGCCCCGTATGTGAAATAAAAATAGCTTCTGTATCGGAGTTACTAACTTCTAATCCCAATTTTAACAAGCTATGTAACGATAATATCATGTAAGCACTTATGATAAGATACACTACGGAGGAAATGAGGAATAGACGCTGAAAGACTATTGTATCTGACATTTGGTTAAGAAGCTCCACCCAAGAAAGCCATCTCACATGGTTTTGGGATGCTATGCGGTTGCACTATAAAATCTTAACTTTAGAAGTTGGAACCAGCCTAGAAAATAAAGTGTTATATCTATATCTGCCCTGAAAAAAACAAAAGTTTGGAATAATAGGAACATGATTTGGTTTCACCACTTTTCCCGTAAGCTCTAGTTTTCGGTGCTACAATTCACACAAGTCTGTATTTTTTACCTTTGATATCCATATGTCACTGTCTTCTTACACTAGACAAATGCTAAAAAGGTCTTTTCTTAAACATTAGTCAAAGTTGATGCAAGAAGTGATGAACTCCTTATCAGAAAAGGAGAAGTGATGCAGTTCGGGGATGTTAAAGCTGAGGTTATCTTAGGTCAATTATGAGGTTGCAAATTATGTATTTAAGAAGTAGAGAAATAGTGAATACTCAAATTGGTAATCAGTTAGTAAATTTGAGAACTTCGCATAACAAGAAGAAAAGAGGAGAGGAAAATGAGATTAACCTCTCCTATGTGGTTTGCGAGATATTGCATAGGAGTGGGGGTTTTACCCTGTGCGCACCCAAAGGGTAGCGGCTGCGGGTTTTCCTTGTCATCAAAAAAATAAAATGAGAATAACCTCTCTTAGGGATTTAACTAAAAATAATGTTCACCTTGTTTAAGCTTATATTTAATATTTGATCCTCCTGAATACTCCCTATATTTTTCTGTTGATATAAGTCAATAGTCTAAAATAATTGCATCATGAATCTGAAGTTCTTTCAACAATCAATCAAAGTTCATCATTCGAACAACTACATCTCCATCCCAAGAACATCGGCTCCTGCTATGTCCAATCATCTGTAATCATTTAACTTATTCGGGCTCAAAGCGTTCCAATACTACTTTGCTAATATATGCTAGAGATTCTCTGAATCTTACACTTCTACATTGTCATATCAGTCTTTAACCAAATCATTAGCAAATATCAGACCTAAAAGTGTAACAACATAACTAAACTTGTATCCCAACTAAATAGTATCACCTACAGGAATCTTTTGCTTACATTGTTTCAATTCTTAGCTATTTATATTGATTCCAGGCGGGTGGCAACCTTCACTTAATGTATCCTTTATGCATGCTACGTGCACTACTTGTCAGATGTGGTTATTTTTACTTGTCTAACACTATAGGAATGAATATCTTTCTTAATATCTCTGATTCTCTGTGTCCGAGGATGATTATGGATGTGTTCGCCGTAGAGACCCAATATTTACATTCATATAATATTGTTGGTCTCACCACAATTCTACAATACTTTACTTTGATTAAGTATTTCTGTATGATATAATACTCGAGTTGCAGCCATCCATTTCAAACATCCTATTTTTATTTTATGTATCATATCTGCATCTCATGTCATTTCCTGGAAAATTCAGTTTTAGAAGTAAGTTGGACATACTCAGGTTGCAACCCTCCATTTCAAGCATCCTACTTTTTTCTACATGTCATGTCTGCATCTATCATGAGTCTTTTCCCCCCTTATCTTGTATCTATTGTGTCATTTCTTGGAAAATTCAGTTTAGCTATTAGTTCAGCATTTAGAAGCTAAATTCTGTCTAACTTCACCTTCACCCTCTTATACGAGCTAAACTATACATATATTCTGTTTTAGTTCTATTTATCCTAAACATTTAGTCTCTAAAGTGCCTCTCCAAAAAGCCAACTTCCGATGGGTCCCTCCATTGTTTCATGGACAGTATCATCTGCAAATAACTGGCACGATTCTATTTATATTATTGGTTGACTCACACATAATAAGGGTAAACAATACAGCGGGAAGGCAAACCTGGTGTAATTCAACATTTTTAGAAAATTCCTTTGCCTTCCATTTTCTTGTATTTTGACTGCTCCTTCATGCATGTCCTTTATGAATTCCTTCCTTCTCAAGTACCCACACCCTCTTAAAGACTTTTTTCATGTTGTATCATGTATGAATCTCAAATTAATAGTAATACTGAAATTCAGTTGGGATTGAAGGGGTATCATCTTAGTCAGTCCTGTTGTTCCCACCTAACTGTTCCATTTTCACTTCTGATTGGTAGAACATGTATTGTTCTAGTTTCGTGCTTTGTCAGATCAATTTTACCGCACCCCTGAGCATCACAAATTTGTCAGACAGCAAGTTGTGAATCAGGTCCGTAAAGCTTCACATCATAACATAAACAAATCTTGCCTTGTCATTCTTGTTCTGCGATAATGATATCATTTTTTTTGGATTATCAGCTCAAGTCATGCCCAGAGATATACGACGGATATGTTCCCATGGCCTATCATGATTATCTGAACAAGATGTCAAAGTATCTCTTCAACTTTGTTTCTGAATTAATATCATTGCATGGATTACTTTAAATCGCTACTTTTATGTAAATGAAATCAGGGACGGCGAGTGGGGTGATCATGTAACTCTACAAGCAGCTTCTGATTCGGTAAAGTTTTTGGCCTGTGCTTTCACCTAATTGTTCCTTTCTTTCCTCTTGTTCTCTGGTGAGCGACAATTTGGAGGGGGGTAGGAGAGGTACTCTAAGCGTCTCTCTCTTTTAAAATTCTGGCATATCATATCCAAGGCTAAGCACAAGGGGGTGAAGCTTTTCAAAAGACTTGCACCTAATAATTAAAATTGCCAAGACCCAAAAACTGCATATTGTCGTAACACCATTGGCACATTCTTCATTCTTGTTTAATCAACAAATACCAGTTGAAAGTTCAGAATAATTTCTTTTCTTAGTGCATTTATGGTGCATTTTGTGAACATCATGTTGGGGTGTTACAAAGAGGTGTTTGGATTCTATTAGTTGTTTATCAGTGATGCTCAAACGTAATATTATAACACCATTTTCTTCAGTGAAATCAAATTATTGGGGCTTGTTTGTTTTTTCTGATGAAAAAGTGAGTATTTGATTGTAGTTTGCTGGAAGAGTCGAGAAATTTATAATTATCTGACTTTCTCAACTATTCAATGCAGTATGGTGTCAAAATATTGGTCATAACATCTTTCAGAGATACCTGCTACATTGAGATACTTCCCACCATTCAAAAGTCTGAACGAGGTAAAAGATGTATTCTCGTTCATAAATCTGTTTTTGTTCTTATTCTTGTTGCTAGATCTAGCTGCAGCTTTGAACATATTATCATCTAAGTAATCCCTATGAAGTCGCATTAGTACTCAAATATTTGTATTGGTTTGACCACCACACCTAATCGATTACTCCGTCTAGAAAAACTAGTGATTTATTCATCAGTTATCTGCTTTTGCAATGCATATATATTCTATTGGCTAATCACATATTGAACCCGAACTTTACTGATTTCTCAAGTGCGAAAATTGGAGAAAACATTGAATAGTTATGTTAACCTTAACTGTGATGTTAGCCTTGCCTTGAATTTAGAGTTGTGTCTTAGCTGTATCAACATTCTAAATATATGAGTTATGGTACTACTGGCCTCCATGGTCTATGGTTAAGTCAAGATTCCTAGACTTGTATCTACAATAACAAAACAAAATAGTATGTTTTTGTTTAGGCTTGGTTTTTTCTTGTGGAATTTTAGTTTCAAGCTTAAGATTTAAGAACAAATGAACAGTTTTACCGGAACTTGATGAAGAACAGAAATATTTTGGTCTCTTTCGGGTGGTGGGTGGATTCATTTATTCCTGTTGTGCAATTCAAAAGGGAGATCATCCTTTTCTCTTGGAATATATCAAACAATTCTGACTGATCCTTATCATCATTACTTGATCGAATAATCATGAAAGGGAGTTCATCTGAGATTAGTCTTAATTGTTGTTTCTCTTCAATTTTAACAAAGTTGGGATGACTCTTGTATATGAACTCCCATTGTTGCAGTTATATTTTTGAGCTTTTGGGCCGAGGTTCACTACAACTCAATATATCCTGTACGAGGTGAGATCAAAATGTTTCAATTTTGAATTAGTTATTGTCTATAGTTCCACCTCATTTTTCTGCTTTTATCTTTCCGTCACGTAATGTTATACTGATTCCAATTTTCCAGTTGATAATTTATTTGCCAATTTTTACTACTATAAAAGTTTTTGCGTTGAAATTGTTGCCAAAATAGTCAAGTAGAGGACTGACAGTCCAAGTTTAAAATGGTCATTTTAGTATACGAATCTTTGGATTACCCTTGTGGGGGTAGAAAAGAATAAAAGCTTTCCACTAATATGAAGGAAAGTAAACAAGTCAAAGGGGTGCTATTGATTGACATGAAACAAAGATGATCTCATTAGCTCATCGACAACAAAGTTAGTTGGTACTTGTTGTTCGGAGGTGACATGTATCTCATGAAATTAGTTGAGGTGTATTGTGTGCATAAGCTGGCCCGGACACCACGGTTACCAAAAGAAAAAAAGATTCAAGTTGAAATCTTATATAGTACATTAGTTTTTTCTGTGTGCTAAGTTCAAATAGGCATTTTCTTACGCTTTTCTTCTCTCCAACTGATCCACAAAGAATCTGGAAATCATTGGTCCAAAATTATTTCGTTCTTTTCCTCAACAGTGTATATGATTCAAACTGGGTCTTACCCGCATTTTCTTCTTCCTTGACGAGCTAGTATTCTCTTGGGGTCTTCGTGTAACAGTTGAATCTATTTGTTTCTGCCTTCCAGATATCACAGCTGTTGAGATGAAAAAGAAGTACTTAGCCATTTCAAATGAACAATTGGAATCTCAAGATGGTTACCAATGATAGACTGGTATTAAACAGTTCACATATTCTGCACATTTTCAGTCTTTAAAATTATTCTAACCACTTCTAATTTATTGATTCCGTTATTTAGCAGCTAATACATGATATTTGCCACAACGTTTCTGCAAATTACCGATAACCAGCTCAGGTGCAAGCCATTTTTTTTCTTGACATTCTTTCCCAAGAGCAATATTTGGTTTGGGTTTTGAACTTGCACTATTCATCTTTGCTAAATCCAGCAGCAAGTCTAACATTATTTTCCATATTCTTCTTTAAGTATGTCTACCTTGAATGCATCTATAAAATAAATACTCAGGTGCATATTATCTTCTCTTAACCTTTAAGAGTCAGATGTATAGGTGAGTATCTGATTTCTGAAAATATCATTTTTATCTCATTGGTAAGAGTAATAATATCAACTATAAATGTTGTTTACATATTATAAAATAAATGGTTGGTAGGTTTAAAATGGTGGAATTTTCTTTTTACAAAATATAAGCTGGTGGGTCAACTTTATATTTGAAAAATATAAAATCTATTATATGAAATTTTCAAATCAATTTTTTTTTTTTGAGAATTTGAGATTTCATCTCATGAGAAGAAATCACATGTCCATAGGTTGATTTTATCTCATGATTTCAAATCACAAGATGAAATCGTATGTCCAAAGACATACTTAAAATGTTAATTTGATTCATGTACTATCATAGTGGGTAAAAGATAAAAATAATTCAACAATAAAATCCTCAATGTAATTTTACAAGTGGGATCTGGGGATCGTGGTGTGTATGCAGTCTTACTCTAAAGATGTTTTTCTTCCGTTTAAGTAAAAAAATATTTTTAAAATCAAGTATTAAAAAACAAATATAGTAGTGAAGAATTCATGTTGAATACAAACAGAGAAAAGAACAATAGCAACAACAAATAATATGATATTTGAAGACTATGATCAAAGAACAAGATAGTAGAAAAGTGATAAAAACAATACTTGTAAGGAAATTAAACAATGCTCGACTATCTACTAATCTTCGATCCAAATTCTCGACCTCTAAATCTTTCTATTTAGGATCATGTCTTTAGTGAGCTGTAGATGTGTCATGTCTTGTCTAATCACCGTTCCATACGTTTTCTGCTTACTTTTACCTCTTGTTATTCCAACTATAGTCAACCTCTCACACCTTTCATTAGGGTGTGTGTACATCTCCTCTTCACATGCTTGGCCCGTCTCAGACTTACCTCCCTCGCCTTGTCCACCATGAAGGTTATCCCCACTTTGTTCTTGATATCGTCATTTTTATTTCTCTCGTCGAATGCCCACGCATCCATTTCAACATTTTTATTTTCACAATTTGTATTTTTTAAACGTTCGAGTTCTTGATCAATTAATACTTCGCCTCCCTACAACATAGTTGGTTTGACCGTCACTTTATAAAACTTAAATTTAAGAATTGGTGACATTTTCTTACCGCACAAAATACCAGATATAAGCGTAATACTAGTACTTAATAGTTCAATGAAGTTAAATATTTGGAGTCTCTTTTTTGTTTTTTTGTTTTTTTTGGGTTTGAAAATATTTTAGAGTCACAATAGAAGTCCACATCAAGGAAGTATTCCATTTTTTTTTTTCAAAGGCAGTGTAAAATTTCATTTAGATTTCATCTCCTACTATTTTTGTCGTTGAAGAAGGTTCAACTTCAGTGGCGGTCCTAGGAACGAGCCCCACGTTGCTCCCAATCGCCCTCCGGATAAAGAGGCGACATCCGCCTTATTATCTTCAATGCAGTCCATAAAACTCGAGCTACAAGAAAACAATACAGAATTAAGTTTTTATCGGTTTTCCATAGATCCGATATTTGTATTGGAATTTAATTAATTTAAATTCATACTACATAAGTACATATGACTTATTTGAGGGAAACGCTTTCACCAAGAAATATTTCATATGGATAGTTCGAATTGAATCTCAAATTAATTTTAAAAATAATAATTTCATCCGTTGTATTACATCCTTCTGTATACATAAATGAGTAGTGGTACCCCCAACCCCCCTAAAGGAAGATATGGTTTTTGATGGCAATCTTTGCTCTCTTGTTTTCTATCCGGTATTCGATACATGCATAAAAAATACTTAATTGGCATGGAAAAATTCGATGTGAAAATATGCATAAATAGAAAGAAATTAATATTCTGAATAATCAAAAATATAAAATATATAATAATTAATATATTTTTCTAAAAAAATGTGGGAAAAAATAAATAGTACAAGTAAAATAGACTGAACGGGTACTAATGGGGATCATAATAGCCACATACTACTTTTTAGGACCTATCAAGAATTGTGCAGACTTTAAACATGTGCCGATGTGCGCACCACTGGTGGATCCAATGATGTGTAAATATCTGTTGTATAGTGTTCAGGTCAATTTATACGTGGCGATAGTGGCCTATTGAAAATTAGATGAAATGTGTCTATTAGTATGAAGAGGTAGATTCAAAATTTTAGTTTGATATTCAAAATTTGACTTTAAGTTTTTTTATCATAAATTTATTTCAGTTTTAAAATTTTAAATTTAATTTTTCTTTGTGCAATTCTACTATAATAATAATAATAATTAAAAAAATTAAAATCTCCAAACTTAATTTTAAAAAATAAAGAAGGAAAAATATAAGATAGACATGAAATCGAAATCCTAATTCCATAAAAATGCACTCAATAATAATTGCACTATAAAACATTTTTTTTGTTTAGGTACATATATTTAAGTAAATTTGAGCTTCTTTACCTTTTAATATATGAATAAAATCCGTGTATATGTTTATTTTTTTTCAAATTTCATTTTTTAAATTATAGAGTATATTATCATTGTATTATTATATATGTGAAAAAATATGTATTCACGCAAACCATGTCCTTCTTTCTTCTACGTATATACGCCTCTGATTATTTTATTTATTGTCTTTCACGAGTATAAGCATGACTAGAAGTGGATGGCCCGTGCCAACATATCTAGTGTGACACATATATGAAGATTGTATATTAAGTACATAGCAAGTGTGACACATAAATATATATTAAAATTATATATTAGTTGTTGGAGCCAAATTTTATAAGATAGGTATGCACATTTTATTTACATAAGCAAAGGGAAAATGGTGACATAACAGTAGGAACGGAAGGAATATTTTAGAATTAATAAGCATTGATGTTTTTCAACCTTATAGTTAATTCTCTCGGGAGTAAGGGTCAAACCCCTTATTGAAGAAATCAGAATTTATTACTTTTTTTATGACATTATTTTTCATTTAAAAAAAAAACATTATTATGTTTTAAAATAGTTTTAACTTTAAAGGTTCTAACTTACCAAAATCTTGTACATGAGAACCTATAATAATTATGGACCCAACTATGTTGATATAGAGTTTTTTTATTCCAAAGTAAAATTCCCTAATATTTCAAAGTAATAAAAAAGTATATCAATATTTAGTTAAATTACTCCACAAAAAATCAAATAAAAGAAGTATATTTGGTTAAATTATACCAATTATTTAAAAGAAAGAAGTATTTTTTTTGCTCTTTCTTTCCATACGTCATTTTAATAATAAAAAGCAATTCAATATTTTTCAATAAGAAAAACTTCTTATTGTTCTTGCAAAAGTATTGAAAGTTCAGTAAAAAAATATTTTAAAAAACATGTTATGATTTCTTATTCTTTTTTGTTGATAAATTATGTGTAGAATATAAATTCTAATAATTAAATATTGGTGAATTGTATTTACATCTCACAAAGGTAAAATCTTATTTGAATACTTACGTCGAATTAATAAATATATACTTTTTAAATTAATTTTAGTTTTCATAATAAATTATTTATTAGGAGTTTATTTTTAAAAAATTAATTTTATTAATTATACTTTAAAAATATAAATATGACTATTAATTATCTTATATAGTTATTTAATTATATATGTAATATTAAAAAATAAATTGTTTTGATTATAAAAGCTAAATAATTTTTTTTATAAATTATTTAACTATATTAAATTTAAACAATTTAATATGTAAAGAATAAAAATGGAAATATATAGAAACTCAATAAAGTTATCATTGTATACGTGTTAATTGTAAAATTAAATGGACCTCACTATACTCAATGACAGTAGGCACAATTTGTAATTTACTAAAAAAGTGTAGGCTTTTTCTAAAGATATTAAGAAGGCACAGATAATAAGGCTGATAATACAATTTTCTATGCAAACTGAACTTGCAATACTCCCTTTGAATGAGCATAATACTTACTCCACCTGTTCTTATTTATATATCACTATTTTGGATTTTAATGTGCATTAAGAAACAAAGTAAGTTTACTATTTTATTTTTATTTTATTTTTTTGGAACTCAAGTTTTCAATAAATGAATATGAATTAATTAATGTAACTAATGAATATGAATCATTTACTTAGCTTTTCTCGATTGGTCAAATTTATATTTTCAAGGCTAATAACTGACAAGGATAAAAAGAAAACAATATAATAATTTATGCATTAATTTTATGAAATAACAAATATTACAGATCAACTATTTATAAAAAAAGATGACAAACAAAAAGGAACGGATAGAGTTTTACTTTGGGAAGTTGGAATGACAAAACTATTCTCACTCGCCAACTAAATGACCAATAAGCAGCCATGCAAAAAGTTACTTTCTTCTATCTAAGAGAAAAAAAGTAATTAAGTACTGGCCAATAGAAATTACTGTATTTAATAATCTAATCCACATTGGCAGTAGCTGAGCAGATATTCACCTCGATTCAGGTAGAGTTAATATTTAATTTATAATTATAGTTTTTTTAAATAAGGAAAGATAAAATATACCATGATAATAATATATTCAATATAATTTCACGTAATGAAACTTAGAAATGATAAAATATATAAATCTTTACCTATACATTAGAGGAAGAGAGATTAAATTTATAATAGATCGTCAACTCAAAAAAAAAAAAAAAAAAAACTAAAATAGTATAAAAATACAAAAAATAACAGATAACAACTAACAACAAATAGTAATAGCACAATAATTGCAAGAAAATAAAATAGTAATCGAGATACTTAACACAACAGCTAGTAACATAAATTTATAGATAAACAATTATCAGAGTAAAATAGCATAACTATTAATGAATGCCCTTCTATCCTAGTACATGTCCCCCACCCCTACCTCCACCCTAACTTCTATCTAAAGTCATATACTCAGTTAGCTGATATTGTATCGTATTTTATCTAATCATTTTCATAATGTTTTCTCGGTTTATTACCTCTAAGTTAGAGGTAATAGACTCTCACACCGGATAACTTTGGTACTAATTAAGGGATCGTTTGGTGTGAGAGATAAAAATAAATAGTGATGGGATAAAATGTTTGTATCTTGTTTGGTTATCATGTTTGGAATAATTTATCACATCATTTATATCATAGTAATAGGATAAGTTATCCCATATACATGTTGGGATAAGTTATCCCGAAATAGCTAACCCTAAGATAACTAATTTTGAAATAACTTATTTCCAACCAAACGACCTTAATTCTTTTTAAATTATTCATAGTTAGACTATCACAGTGATAATTTTATTTTGGCTTTTCACATTCTGTCCTCCACCAAAGACATTTTCATCTTATTTTGAATATTTTCATTTTTTATTTTATCTTTCTGCTCATACATCTATGTAGGTCCACAGTTAATTGACTTTTAATTACTGGGCAATCTAATTTCCACTATTAACACATGTCGATCGAGACATGTATGTGCTTCTCGAAAATATCTTCTAAGTTTGAGAATAATTTAGTCATTTTAGGTTTATTATGGCTCTTGCATATTAAGACTTTCAAAATATCATATGTGTCATATATATTATTTAAAAAATACATTTAAAATATTATAATAATAATTGACAACAAAATTATAAAATTAAAACTATAAAATAATATATGTTGAATCCGGACTTTTGTCTCTAGTCTAGTATAGTAATAGTGCTTATAAGAGTCGTGCAAGTGATAAAAAAAAATGACCAAAAAATAAAACGAATAATTTCATCAAGTTTTGGAAGAAAAAATATATTATTCCAAATATTAGTAGCAACTCGAGGAACATTTCAAAGATGAATGAGAAAAAAAGATTATCTTATAAACTTATAAAATAATAAATAATAATTAGAAAAAAAAAAGAGGTTTATCTTTTATGTTTTCTTTACTATATTCAAGATTCTTAAAGATTGGATTGTTGGCATTGCACATTGTTGTTATTATTTTGGATTGTATTCATGTTAATCTGATAGATTTAGCAACTTATCTGACACATATGTTGTTATTATTTTGGATTGTATTCATATTAATTTATAGATAATGAGTTTTATATTCAAAGTTTTAGTTTATGAATTTAAAATTTGTCATGAAATTATTATTCGAATTAGTTAATTATTTTATGTGAAAAGACTCAAATATGTCATTGAACTTTGAGAAAAGTTTATGTGTGTCACTTGTTAAAAGTTTGGCTCATCTATGTCATATTCGTTTGAGAAAAGGCTCATCCGTGTCATTATTTGTTCAGTGAAAACACTTCTGATTTTGCAAAATTATTATTTATATGCGGTCAGTTATGATTCGGCCACGTTATTAATTAAATCATTTTTTAAAAAGGGAAAAATGCTCAAATATGCCAATGAACTTTGAGAAAAAAAGACTCATTTATGTCATCTGCTAAGAGTTTTGCTCATTTATGTCATTTTAGTTAGGAAATAATGACATGGATAAGTCTTTTCTCAAATAGAAATGATAATAGATAAGCCAAAATTTTAACAGATTGCATAAATGGGCCTTTTCTCAAAGTTTTATTCTTAACTATAAGATCTGTGTAAACTCATTGAATTCGTTTGAATTAGTAAGGTTAGAGGCAGATACAAAATATTTTCATCGGATTCGTTTCAATCCCAATACATAGCATAGAGAGCTGCTCCAACATCTGCACTACAACAAAAAAAAAATGCTCTACTGAATGATATATGATGCTAAATCAAAATCGAGATATAGAGAGGGTTGTCCTTTTGTTTTGTTGTCTCGAAGAGACAAAACAAAAACACTCTTATGAATGGTGTTGATTCCCATGTTCTTTCTAGTCTTGATTGGTTCCGAAAGTCTCCCTCTCCATGTAGGTCGAGCCTCCTTTTTAGCCGTCTTCTCCCCGTCCTGTACTCGTGTTTTGAAAGTGGTCATCCTAAATTTTCTTTCTGTATGCTGGGGAAAGTACCTCACCCCACCTTTCTACATTTATTATTATATAGAATCTCCTTGAGTATATAAAACAGAGTGAAAAGTCCGGGTGGAAGCACAAACAAAAGAAGAGAAAAAGTCTTAAAAAAAAAAGGGGGAAGAAGTCTAATGCTAGTTCTTGCTAACACTAAATTGATGAGCCAAAATTTAAGAAAATTGCTACAAATTTTGAACAAATACTTTTAAAACATAGTAATAAATTCAATATAAAAAACTATAAAATTTATTTATATTCTAAATATACGTTTGTTCATGTCTAATACTCCCTCTGTCCCTAATTACTTGTCCACTTTTGAATTGACACACCTATTAAGAAAACAATAATTGACATAGTGAGTTTATTATTTTACCCCTATTAATTATGAAGTAGATGAATTAAAAATTTAAGATTTTCAAAAAGTTATACCTTTTTCAAAGTAATTAATTGAGGGTATAATAGGTAAATTTTTTTGTCCTTTCCTGATTTGTCAAAATAGACAAGTAATTAGGGACAACTAAAAAAGAAAATATGGACAAGTAATTAGGGACAGAGGGAGTAGTAAGTATAGTTCCGCCCTAATCTAGGTTGGTGCATAAGAAAATTGAAATTTGCGTACACAAATTGAACAGCTCACATTACACGCTGGAACCTTAAATTCAAGAAAGAAGTTCAATATGTTGAATATTAGAGTTTGATACATTGTCAAAAGACTACGTAGGAATAGTATTCATTTTGTCCCAAATTTGTTACCTCGTTTTTATTTCGTCAATTTAACTGTATTTTTCAAAATTGAAATTAAATTAGATTAATTTAATCTTTTTTAATTAAGAGTTAGATATTTTAAAACTATAAAAAAAAAGTATTAGTTATACTAACTTTTGATCAAAATTAATTTAGAACAACTCTCCATCTATAATTAATTTGAGGGAGAGAGAGAATACTTTCTATCTTTATATTTAGCCATCCCAATCCACCATTTATCAACAACAATAATAATATATCTAATGAAATTTCATCAAGTGTGATCTGAAGAGGGTAGACGGTAGAGCATATGTAAATTTTATTTCCATAAATAAGATTTTGAGGAGTGTGGGTATATGAGTGTTAAGAGGTCAGACTGGATTTATCCAGTTCAGGAAATATTCAACCCTAGGACCCGAGGTCCAATTCCAACCAAGCTAGTTTGGTTTGTTATGATTTTAGAACCTTTTTAAAAAATATATATAAAATAAAAATATTATCTTCGAATGATTCTCAACCGTATAATAAAATACCACTAGTGACTTATAATTTACAAACACCATCCATGTTTGAATATTCAACCACCACATTAGATCTGAAGTATTAAACTTTCAACTATACTACAAAATCTCTTGAAAAATCTCTCCAATCTAGTGATGACTATAATATAAAATTATACACGTGAAATTTATTTATATATACACACTTTAATAATATCACCTTCAACAATATATATATACATCAATCTTTCTTTAGTCCCTACCACTACATTAAAGGAAGGCATTTCATCAAACACCTTTGTATCACTAACATTACCCACCTTTTTTTTTTGTTCAAAACAATGGCTTTAACTTCATTTTTTTCTCTTCCTCTTCCTTCTCTTCACAAACAATTTCCATCAAAATACTCCACATTTCGTCCTATTATTGTTTCTTTATCCGAAAAACCAACAATCGTGGTAACCCAACCTACAAAATTATCTACCAGGACAATACCCGGCGACTATGGGTTGCCGGGTTTTGGTCCATGGAAAGATAGGCTTGATTACTTTTACAATCAAGGCAAAAACGATTTTTTCGAATCAAGAGTAGTGAAATACAAATCAACTATATTCAGAACGAACATGCCACCGGGACCATTCATTTCTTCTAATCCGAAGGTTATTGTTTTGCTCGACGGCAAGAGTTTCCCAGTCCTTTTCGATGTTTCGAAAGTCGAAAAAAAGGACCTCTTCACCGGAACTTACATGCCGTCGACTGAACTCACCGGTGGTTACCGTGTTCTTTCTTATCTTGACCCATCTGAACCAAACCATGAAAAATTGAAAAAATTGATGTTCTTCCTTCTTTCTTCTCGTCGTGATCACGTTATACCCAAATTCCATGAAACTTATACAGAGTTGTTTGAAACCCTAGATAAGGAAATGGCGGAAAAAGGTAAAGCTGGTTTAAACTCCGGCAATGATCAAGCTGCGTTTAATTTCTTAGCTAGATCGTTGTTCGGAGTTAACCCAGTTGAAACTAAACTCGGAGGTGATGGTCCGACATTGATCGGAAAATGGGTTTTGCTTCAGCTTCATCCTGTGCTTACTCTCGCTCTTCCGAAGTTTCTAGACGACTTAATCCTCCATACTTTCCGGTTACCTCCGTTTCTGGTGAAGAAAGATTACCAGAGACTTTACGATTTCTTTTACACCAACTCCGCCAATTTATTCGTCGAAGCTGAAAAACTCGGCATTTCTAAAGAAGAAGCTTGTCATAATCTTCTCTTCGCTACTTGCTTCAATTCCTTCGGCGGGATGAAGATTTTCTTCCCGACTATGATGAAATCGATAGCGAAAGCAGGGGTGGAGGTCCATACCCGTTTAGCAAACGAGATCCGATCGGAAGTAAAATCCGCCGGCGGGAAGATCACGATGTCGGCGATGGAGAAAATGCCGTTAATGAAATCAGTAGTATATGAAGCTTTACGAGTTGATCCTCCGGTAGCTTCACAATACGGAAGAGCCAAACAGGACCTTAAGATCGAATCACACGACGCCGTTTTCGAGGTGAAAAAAGGTGAAATGCTGTTCGGGTACCAACCATTTGCAACGAAGGATCCGAAAATTTTTGACCGGCCGGAAGAGTTCGTCGCCGATCGGTTCGTCGGAGAAGAAGGAGAAAAGTTATTGAAATATGTATTATGGTCTAATGGACCGGAAACGGAAAGTCCGACAGTGGGGAATAAACAGTGTGCTGGAAAAGATTTTGTAGTGATGGTTTCGAGGTTATTCGTAACGGAGTTTTTTCTCCGTTACGATACATTCAACGTCGACGTTGGTACGTCGGCGTTGGGGGCTTCAATTACTATAACTTCTTTGAAAAAAGCTTAATTTTTGAATCGAGGTCAAGAGTCGAGAGTCGGATCTAGACTATCTGCCAGTGTATGTGTTGCTTGTTCTTATAATTTCAGTAATTGTTTCACAAAAGGGGTGAATTTTTGTTTGTTGTTTAGATTTGGGTTGTGTACATGTTTTTTTCCATCTAAATTACTTTTTTCTATCCCAAAATACTTGTTTGTTCTTTTCTATTTATTTAGTCTAATTTAATTTGATATGAGTCATTTATTTAAATATACCACTCAAAAGTTCAAATTAAGTAATTACTAAAAATAGCAAGTCATTTATTTATTTTTTAACAAAGTAAAAAAGAAAGTATGTTGAATGGATTAAAACGGAGAAAATATTATTTTTGGCGAGTCAAAATTTTTTATTTTTTATTTTGATTTCCCACTTAGTGTTCAAAACGCTCATTAGAGTTCGAACTAAATTTGGATCGTGCATTACAGTCCCATTCGGGGTGACGCGCCCAACATGATTTCCTCCATATCCAAAACTCGAATTTGAGACCTTCTGGTTAAGGGTGAAGTAGTCTCAACACTAAATGACAAGTCAACAACTCATGTCGGTCTTAAGAGTCAAAATTACATACACTTTGAAAGTATATATTTTCTATGTTTTAACTTATTTATCTATACGAAATTTAAGAAAATAAAAAATAATTTTAAATTAGATAATTATAAACTAAAAATATGTTAAATGGATTGCTTATAATATTTTTAGTATTGCAATCTTAAATATCTTAAAGTGAAAAAATAGAATTTAATAATTGCTGAAAGATTGAAGAAGACATTCTTTTTAATAGAGTTAAAAAATAATACTATCCAATAGAGTATGTTTTATCATATTGTCCTTTAGGTACATTTTAGTCACAAGAACCAATAGACAAGAGTCTTGGTTGGGCAATACTTATCTAAGTTTATTATTAAAATAATTGGAATGACATTTGACCAAACATTAGGATGATTTTTACCTATTTAGTTTAGCACTTGATTGGTCATGTGGATTTATAAATTTATTTTGTATTGAAATTATTTTTGGACATATATTTTATTTGAAAAACATTTAGAGTTCTGTGAGCCTGAAAATTAGTGTGAGTTAGTTTTTGGAAATTTGGAAAATATTTCAAAATTATATCTTCAAAATCTGCTTAACTTTTATGGTTAAATATTTAAAGATAATTTTAAAAATTTGATCCAAAATTTATCGTGAAGCGCTAGCTTAAGTGGGTATCTAAAAGATTTATGAGCACATTTAATTATTTGATTATTATTTATGTTTTTCAACCTAAAACTGTTCTCTCTCCTTCTATTTTTACATGTTCATTGTGAATATATATATATACTCATATAGTTGTTACTATATTTTTTTGGTTTCATTCGATGTTCGGTATTTGCATGAAAGTCCGACTAATTTGGATATGTGGCTTGTATGGTTCCCATTCTAGGGGAAGTGCTTCCTATCAAAGATTTTTACAGGCCTAAGGCTCAAACCTGAGAAATCTAAGGGAAAACAACATCATTTACTGCACTACATCCTTTGGAGTAGTTATTATATAATCTTAGGTATTGAAAACTGATTTGGAGAATAAATAATTAATGTTTAGGATAAAATTGAAAAACTAATCATATTTTCTTAATATTCTATTAAAAATATATTTTAAAAATAGTAAACAAGTTAAAAAGTGAACGGAGAGAGTAATATATGTTTTTCTTCTTCAACCTCTGAGCCTAGGGTTATAGCCCAATGGGCTAGGATATCATTATCCAATATGGATCAATATCTATGAACTTATTTGAACTTTTTAAAAATGTTTGTTGTATTCGTATTCAATCCTTTAATATTTTTTTTGAAAAATTTCACATGTATTAGTAATATTTTAAAAAAATCCAAGCAACGTAATCTAAGAACATAGAAGTATTAGGTTGCACAAATGATTTTAACTATCCAAAGTTCTAAATTCATAGCCCAGAGAGTTCGGACGAATTCAATAATGGGCCAAATGGCCACATAGTGACTGCTATTTAAGATATAATCGAAATATATATAACTTTTTTATGAGTTAAATTGCTTCAAAATTAACTTTAAACTTACGAAATTTAAGTTGAAAAAAAATTCTGTTTGGAGTTGCAAGTCAAAAGTATTCACTTTTACTTTAACTCGAGTATTATTCATGACAAGAGGAAAATCGAATTGAATAAAAATGAAATGTTTCTTAGTGCCAAGACTTCGATAAGCTAATATCCATTGTTACATAAACCAAAATAAGTTGCAAGTTTGTTTTTATATGTTTCTCATCGAATTGAGATCAATTTATCATTCAAAATTTAGCATTGTGTTCTTTTTCTATTAGATACATAAATTTATTCAACCTAAATAAGAGAAAGGAGCATTTTTGTCAGAAACTTACATTATATCAATTATAAATTATATAATAATAATAACAAGAACAATATATCCACAGTAAATTCCATAGTTACTTCAACCAAAACAAGTTGACAAGTTTGCTTTTATATGTTTCTGGTTAAATTAAGACCAAATTTTCATTCAAAATCAGTGTCTTTTCTTAAACTATTAAATACATAAATTTGTTTGACATAAAGAATTGGGAGGAGCATTTTTTTCTGAAACTAAATAACAGCAACAACATTCCTTCTTTACCCTCAAATTCAAACATGTGGGCGCAAAATGCCATCTCGCTTTATTGTTATGCAGTAATAGAAGTCTGCTTATGCTGCTTCGGCGGCACTTAGCACATTGTACTACCCCATTGTGCATTCTGTGTAACATCAAGGATAGAGAAAACTTATACTACCGTGGGGGAGGTCGTCTCCCAATACATTGTAATTCAATAAGCAAAATCTGGAAGAAGTAAAGTACAATTTTTCCATATTTCATATAAAGAGGCTATTTTCGAAAAACCGAGTAAATTGGCTAGCAACTTAATTGTTCCATTCAATGTGGATGGGTTAGAACTTGCAAACAAGTCATCAACCAAATACCCATTTTGCTTTTTCTAAAGTCTCAATGGTTCTGGAAAGGATAGAATCTTCTGGAAACTCCTTCACTCTATCAATAATAATACTTCCAAAAACAAATGCAAAATATTAAGCCCTAGTCTCTCTTTGTATACTTCGCCAAACTTGTCACTCTTTTCATTCCAACCCAATCCCCTTATCCACTCACAATAACATAGCAGCTCTCTAAAACCCTTTTCTTCTTCTTCTCTGCAATGGCTTCTGCTAATGCTATTTCCACTGCTTCTATTTTCCCTTCTCCTTCTAAACAGGTATGTTCTTTTTTCACCATTTCTTGATATGGGTGTTCCTTGTTTCATGTCTTGTTAGCTCTTCTGTGTGTTGTTTGGGGCTTTTACTGATATGGGTTATCCTAATTTGAGTATGTTTTAGTGTAAAGTATGCTTTTTTATACCATTTCTTGATATGGGTGTTCCTGTTTCCTGTCTATTTGCAATTCTGTGTGGTGTTTGTGCGTTTTCCTGGTATGGGTCAGCATAATTTGAGTATCTTTTAGTGTAAAGTATGTTTTTTTATACCATTTCTTGATATGGGTGTTTCTGTTTTCCGTCTATTTTCGCAATTCTGTTGTTGTTTGTGAGTTTCCCTGATATGGGTCATCATAATTTGAGTATGTTTTACTATAGAGTATGCATTTTTATACCATTTGTTGATGTGGGTTATCTTGTTTTGGGTCGTGTTTGCTATTATGTGTGCTGTTTGTGCCTTTTGCTGACACAGGTCATCCTAATTGTGAGTATCATCATTTACTATAAAGTACTCTTTTTTATACCATTTATTGATATGGGTTGTCTTGTTTTGGGTTGTGTTTGCTAGTATGTATACTCTTTGTATCTTTGGTTGGTCTTTGTACAATTGCTTGATATAGTCCATTTAGCATCGACTCCTTCGCTGTTGTTTACTGTGTGATAAATTTGGGTTGCTTATTTGTTTATTTATTTGGCTTTTTGATGCAGGGCGGTTTGAAGAATAGGAAGGTCAGCCAATTGCAGGGACAGAGATTTGGCAACAAGGGTGCAAAGAACCGGTTTGTAGTCAAAGCCTGTGCTAAAGAAATTGCCTTTGACCAGAAATCTAGGAGTGCCCTGCAGGCTGGTATCGACAAGCTTGCTGATGCTGTTGGCCTGACTCTTGGTCCAAGGGGTATGTTTCTGCTGCCTCCTCTTTGTCCTTGCTATATTTTGCAGCACTTCTGATTGAACTTTTGGTTTTTATTGCATATTCGAATCATTGACTGATCAATTGTGAGTATTCAGGTCATTTACTTTTTCTCGTGAAATGAAAATGAAGCAAATTGGTGGCCTGAAACTGTGGAGTTATATTTTAGCTCTCTTTGTATGTTTGTTTATTTAGTTCTGATTTCTTTAGAGCCAAAGTAGATAAGATTGAGGCGGGTGATGTTGTCAGCTGTGACAGAATTAAAGGCAAATGTTGTTTTTGATTTAAAGAAATCGTGGTGGATCCAGTCAATTATCTAGTGCACTTGAATATATTTCATTTTGTACGAACATTGACTGATTATTTCTGTAGTATATGTATGTTGAATGTGATAGAATCCCTGATTACTGCTTAGCATTACTGTGCTGTGTCTGAATTTCTTGTCCCAAGTGGTGCAATACATCAGTGGAACATTTTGAATGCTCTACTTCTATGCTTCTGTTTCTTTTAGCTGTGGTTTAACTACCTAACTACCTTGGACTGTGATTTCATGCTATGGTTGGTTGATTTTCAATAATCGATCCACTTGTTTGATTGAGGCTGTCACTATGCTTCTTATGATTGGTTGAAGTCCTGAAGTCCTTTTTACTTTCCTGCAGGAAGGAATGTAGTGTTGGATGAATATGGCACCCCTAAGGTGGTTAACGATGGAGTTACAATTGCTCGTGCCATCGAGCTACCTGATGCTATGGAGAATGCTGGGGCTGCCCTTATCAGGGAGGTTAGTTGTTTCTGTCAATTCTTACTACTTGAGATCACAGTAATTTTGTCCACTATATGTATTCCTTTATGTGCATTATTTGCTACATATGTTGAACTTATCTTCCTTTTCTTATTTTCAAATGCATACTGAAGGTTGCAAGCAAAACCAATGATTCAGCTGGTGATGGAACCACAACTGCATCTGTTCTTGCT